TTTTGAATTTATCAAAAATTAAATTTTTGTGACGTTCTACAATTTAAGTAAGATTCATAAGTTTTGTAATCACAAGATCAAGATATTGTTAGCGATTGTATGGGTTCTTTGCTTCAATAATTTATTGGGTCGAGTTTTTCAAACGTTGATTGTTTGCTTTCTTGAATTTGTTCTAATTTGTTGTGATAACTGTAGATATTATTGCTACGTGGGTTTACATCATCGAGAAATCCCAAAGATATGATGCAAAATGGATTTTTAGTAAAAAGATGGGTATGTATTGCTTATTATCAGACAATCACTTATAGGGAAATATTATCTGAAATTTTGTTTTTAAAATTCAAATTTTCCTAACTACTAAGACCTCATCATCTTTATTTTGATTTGGAAAGACAAAGTTCATCGTTCTTGTTGAGAATTTTTCCTCTTCTTGTTCGTTTTTACTTTTGAAACCATATTTCCTTCACTTCGATTGATAGAGCAATTTATTATGTATTTTCACATTTTCACTGTAGTCATCACGACATTGAAACCCTAATAACACAAAACAATTGAATAGTTCACATTTGTTTAAAGGATAGATATATGTTACGACTTTCTCCATGGTATTTGATCCATCCATGAAAGTGATTAATCCTCTAAGGTAACAAGTTGTGGTTTTTTTCAAGATACATCACACTTGTCCTTGATGAGACTATTTTACTTCCTTCAAAGGAAGAGCAAGGGGATAGCTCTTCCTTGCAAGAGCTTTCTCCATGGTGTTTGATACATCCATGAAAGAGTTTTTATACATTTGAAGTATTGATGCATAGATGGGACGAGGCCTTGTATTATGGAGTTCCATATTTCAGAACAAGGCCTATTAATTCCCCGTATACGACCTCTTTTCAGGGGTCCTTCCTTCTGCAGGAGTTATTATTCATATCCACTTCTTCAGGGGCTTTCCTTTTCATAGGTTCTTTTAGTCATGACATTTTCAAATGACACATCTTTTTGGGGGTCTTCATTTCGTGGGAGATGCGTTGATGCATAGACGAAGCTAAAAATTGCCTTCAAGTCCTCAAATAATTTCATGACCAGGTCCCTTAACTTTTCATCTTCTACATTTTGGTCCACATATTTTGACTTTTATTTCGATCGTACCCTTAATAAACTGCATCCAAAGTCCTTCAACTTTTGACATTCCCACACTTAGTCCCAACTTCACTTTTTTTTGTTCGCTTCTAGTCACCTTCTCTTCTTTTGAATTGTTGTCCTTCAATTTAGGGATGTCTACTGATCACATGTGGGAGGCACTTATGCATAGGCCAGGAAGAGGCGCTGCATGACAAAAACATTGTTGAATAGGCCAATATGAGGCCTTTACTCTTAAAAAAAAATTATGGTCGTATAGTTAGAGTATTCCTACAAGGATGAAGCCTTTGAAGATAGATGTCATTCGTGTAGAGGCGAAGGCCCATGTTTCAGGGCGAGGCCTCTTAATTTTTCAAACTTGTTCCCTTCTTTAAGGGGTCTCCTTCATAGTTTCTTCTTTAGAGGCTTCCCCTTTTTCTTTCTTTAAGAACAAAACATTTTGCAATGAGGAAGCTCGGCACTCTTTCTTTGCTCCTTTTTTTTTTTAGAGGGTGCTCGTTTGCGATGGTTATTTCTTCAAGAACCAAACCTTTCTTCAAGGCTCTTTCCAAACGGTTTTTACCACTAGGATGTTCGTGGTTATGGTAACAAAGATTCCCACAGACGGCGCCAATCTATTGACCCCCAAAATATGGTCCAACAGAAAAGTAGAAACTAACGTCCACGCAAGCCGAATCACCACATACTTAGATAAAATCGTCAACTTTATAGGTGAAATTATATGAGGAGAATAATCCAAAGTATCTCACAAGTTGTATTGTAATTATTGGATGCATAAAGAGAGGGTCGACTATGGAATGGATCGAGGAGATTCAAGGTTGGTTTTGAATGTGTAAACTTGCATTAACTTCAAATGGTGCTAAGTGTATGTTTTTATAGTAGAAGATGATGATTAAGAGTCGTTAAATGAGGGGGCACGCGACCTCATCCGCACAGCTGGGACCAGTCATAGTCATCAATCAATCATTCATAGGCCATTTCGTCTTTAATGTTCTGATGGCGTGGCAGCCCTAGTCCTAATATCTAAGACTAGATTTGATTTGTTTGATTGAGTAAGACTACATTTTCAGTGAGTTGTTACATCACCCACTGGATATAAGATCTTATATGAAGATCTTCTCTAATACGCCTCTACCTATCTCATGTCATCCATTGGGGCTCAGTTCTTCATGGGGCTTCGGACAATAGAGGTTCGGCCCATTGGGTTTCGGCCAATAGAGGCTCGGCCAAATTATTGTATGGGCAGAATGATGTGGGGCGGGTCTAGATTCACTTGCTGTGTAGTTTGTCACTTGGCCATACTTAGGACTTCTTTGGAACTCCATTCTGCCACGTGGCGTATTTATTGTACAATTATTTATATGAGTAACAAGACATAGGAAGGAGCACATGGGACATTTGACACAATTTTGAGGGCACTTATGCCAAACTCAATCCATTTTGTAGTTGAAGTACAAAAAAAAAATAAAAATGATACCAATATCACATAATATAAGGGTATACACAACAGAAGTCGCAAAGGTAATTTAGACAAGAAGATACACGGTCAAATTTGTTAGAAGTTATAGATACATTTTTCACAAATATGGTATTACACATGATGATCACAAACCCTAGCATTTATATTCTCTAGTCACAATAACAGACGAATTAGATGTCATAATATTTGCCAAATTGTTACCCATATTTCACTTTCATGATCACAACATGAGAAGCGAGATAAATATATAAAAAGAAGTACAACTTTTGCTAAAATTTAGGGTGAAATATGGTGAAAAAGAAAATATACATCACATGTGTATCAATCAGTTTTGTTCATATACTTCTTATGTAAATTCATAATTGTTTATGATATGATTTTGCAAATCTTCACAAATTAAGAATATTTGTCAAAAGAGTGGTGCTATGTGTACACACACTTTTTTACACAATGTTTTACACCTCTCTCACATGGAGGGGAGCCCACGATTATTTTATTATGTGTGGGTCCCCCTCCATGTGAGGGAGGTGTAAAACATTGTGTAAAAAATTGTGTACACATAATTTTATTCTTGTCAAAAAGTAACATTAGATTTGATACTTGCAAGTTTTTCCAAACTATTTTGTCTTTAGTTGAGTCTCTTTCTGTACCGTCTTCCAATTAGCATTAAAATGGAAACTGACGTCTCAACCGTTACTATTCAAGGAAAAATAAATAAATAAATCTAACAAATCCGACATCCATTCTTGCTCGCCTCCCTCTAAAATCGATCCACACGAAACTAAACAAAACATTTCACTTTCACGTGTCAAATCATCTGTTACAAGTAACGTGAGCATGATATCGTGTTTGATTAAGTATAAAGTAATTCTATCTAGGGGTGTCCAAAAGTCTCGAACCGAATCGGACCGAATCGAACTCGAACCGAACCGAATCGAGCGGTTCTTCATAAATTAAATATCCGAACGGGTATCCGAATAGAGAACCGATGAGTTTGGGTCGGATCTCGGATCTAGACCAAAAACCGAAGAACCGAATAAGAATCGAAACTAAATAATTTTTTTATTTTTTATATTGAATTAATTAAATTATTTTATTTTTTTCTAAACAAATTAGCAAATTAATTAAATAAATCAGATTATTTCATAATTTTAATTTTAAAGCCCAAATCATTTTTAAAACTCATTAACTCATTTTAATTTGAAACAAATGAATATACTTTATGTAGTGTTGCTGTAATATTAATATCTACTTTTTGATATTTATATTCATTGAATTANATGGTACGGAACCGAACCGACCCGAACCGAACCGAACGGAACCGAACCCGAACGGTTCCATAATTATATTTGGACCCGACGGGTCCATTTATTAAATACCCGAAAGTTTTGGGTCGGTTCGAGTCTCTTCAGAACCGAATCGAACCGACCCACGGACAGCCCTAATTCTATCCTTTACATAATCTTATTCCATCTGAATGAAAAGTAAAAAATGGGTGGAACCGAAAAGAAGTGTACGTCATTGTATTATTATTATCTTAATTAGGACATGTTTGATGTAAATTTTTTGAATATAAAGTTTATAAAAAGTGATTTTTTTAAGAATGTAAGGTTAAAAAGTAAGAAAATATTATGTTTTTATATCAAAATTATTTTATTAAGAGAATATATGATTGAAAATGAGCTTAAAGCCCAAACAAGAGCTAAATTATTCCTTAAATTTAACGTTTACCTTTTAATTTTTTTATTAAAGCTTGTTACTTATAAGTTTATTGAACGTTTTTAAGCATAGCCAAACATGACTCAACAAGCTATCTCGTTGCCATCCGTTTTTCTCCCAGCATTTAATGATTTCTCTGTACTCAGAACTGTGAACCCCACACACAGTTCATCCTCCCCAAGCCGATTCATACTGCCCCTGTTAATGTACACGCGTCAAGAACTCAATTTGACTGTACATTTGCCCTAAGAGGTTGTACGTCGCATATACATGCATTATAGAGAGAGAGAGAGAGGGTTACAGGCGTATGTAAGCGCCATAAATGCTGGTGAAATTTTGGAAAATGACAGAATTGCAACCATTTCTGGAAGTAGTTTAGAGTTTGAAATTAAAGTAAAAGAGAAATTTCTTATCCGTAAAGAGAGAGAGAAAGTGCGGCATTAATGAAAAGTTCAACTAACTCTCTGGACTTGGTTGAAATAATTGTAAACTTTTGAATCTGCTAGCTCGTAACATTAATAATTCAACTATAAATGCCAGCACCAAAGTCTTCTTTACTCAACTTCACCGCCATATCCTCACACTAAAATCCCCAGCCAACCAATATGTTTTCTCACATTGACAAATTGTAGGATTTTTTGCTAGTAGATCGTGAGTTTTGAGGCCAATGTGGAATTCGGCGGAGAATTTAGCTGCGCGGTCGGCGTCGTTTAGGGAAGAAGGCGACGACGAGGAGGCGCTACGGTGGGCAGCGCTGGAGAGGCTGCCGACGTACAGCCGTGTACGACGGGGAATTTTTAAGAACATTGTGGGAGATTCGAAGGAAATTGATGTCGATAAATTACAAATGCAGGAGCATAAAATTATACTGGATCGGTTATTTAAATCCGTTGAAGATGACTGGGAGGAGTTCTTCAGGCGTGTGCGACGTCGTTTTGAGAGGTAATTTATATTTTATTTTTTGATTCCCTGTTCAGACTCCAATTTTTCAAAAATACATGATTTCAAAAATAATGAATGCTTTAAAAAATTATTATTCTAAAATTTATTTTATCCCGAAATCTCATGAAGTCTACCCGAGCTAGATTGGAGTTGGATTTTTTCTTTTATTTATTTTTTGGGGGCGTTACGGTCGGATCTCCGAGTAGGTCTGGAACCTATTCTTTTGTTAACCTAAGGCCCAATACTTAAAGAATCCGCAAGTTTGGCCCATTTTCTCCTGAGAGGTTCGCAAATCCAGTAAAACTGTAAAAAGTTTACATCACAGTACCAAACCGGTCATTCGACCGAGAAGAGAGAAAAGGTCGAGGGTCAAAGGTGGAATGAGTAATGCTAAAAGGTCGAGGGTCAAAGGTGGAATGAGTAATGCTACGGGAACATTTTAGATGACAGTTTGGTTGATCGAATGGTCGGCATTATTTAATTCACACGGACCCACGGTGCAATGTGAGGGTCGGTCAACCGAGGTGGCACCAAATTCTGGCAAAGTGGAATAGGAGATAAAGAAATACTTAATTAAAAGTAAATAAACACGAATTATGAAAATTTATGAATATAAACTAATTTTTCATGAAATATAAAAATAAAAATGGTCTAAATAAATTATTAAAGAATCAGATTTGATGTCAATGACCGGTTTTCTACCGGTTCTTTTATATCTGGTGGTAAATTTTTAAAAATAATTCATAATGGAACTTTGGTTAATAATTATTATTTTATTACTTTATTAACTAACTTAAGTTTTAAAGTTTTAAATGTATATTTTTATTTAAATAATAGAAATTTTTTATTCAGTAAATTGTTAAATGTGTGAAATTTGCTATCTTAGATTTACTTATGTTCTAACATACTAATATATATTAGTTGTGCAAAGACTAGTGAAATTGTTTGGCTATCAATTGTAATATGAAAATTGGCAAAAGCTGAGAGTGATCATGAATACGGATGTTAAGTATACTTAATGAATTTTTTTTGTCGATCAATCCTGCTACATGTACGGGGGCTGGTTGACAATTTTTTTTGACAGATTGCCCGCCGTCAATATTTAATTGGATGTTGGGCAAAAAATAGTTCAAAGTCAATGCAGTTTTGCCACTTGTACATCTGTAAATATCCCTGTACAAGGAGCTTAATTCTTTACCCATATTGCCTCCATGGTCATTCCATTGCTTAAGTTAGTAAAGACATTGAAAATGGTAGATAAAATTGAATTGAGTAGTATTGCATAACTGGAACTCATCAGGAGATTTATAGGTGTTTGAGGACCATCGTGATTGCATCCTGTTTGAAAACCGTTACTAAAATCTCAGTGGTACTGTGGTGTTGTCTCATGACAAAGATATATCTTATCTCAATCTTCCTTATAGGAGTTATCTTCTTCTTACCAGTTGAAACAGCCCTGTTGAAGTGAAAATAGGATCTGTCCTTAGTAGGTATTCTGTGGATTTCTATGTGTAAGGAAAAAATTGATCACCAAGGTTTTCCGAGATCAGTTTTATCGACACCACCAAATAACAACTCAATCTCCTACAACTTTCACCCAACTCCGGTTGCTTTTGTATTGCCCACAAAGGACACAAAAATGAGAGTTTATTGCCGCCACACAGCAGCCACAAAGGCAGAAGAAAGAGCTGGACAAAGAAGAGAAAAAACCGAAGGCAATAGCACGAAGCAGAGGAAGAGCAGCTGGTAATTTTTCTTCAAGGAAATAACTTGTTTCTCAAAGCAAAGAGGCTGCCCATATATAATATTACATTAGGCTTTTAGGTTAAGTAATGGATCGGGCACAAAAGGAGACAATAGCTAACCAATAAGTGGGCCAAATACTAAAAGCCGTCCAAGGAGTGAAGGGTCGGGTCATGAGCAGCTCTAATTGAAGTAGACTACTTCCAATGCCCAAAATAGTTATAGGCTCAGGTCGTTCCATTTAAGGTGGAAAAATGCTATTCTTCCCCAGTGGGGATGCATCCCCAATTTATGTGGATGTAAATGATTGGTTAAATAATAGGTGAAATTAAATGACTTATTTAATTTCACCTATCATTTAATGCCACATAGATTGTGGATGCATCCCCAGTGGAGATGAATATCATTTCTCTTTAAGGTGTCGATATTTCAATTCAGTCATTTGGTCGATACCGAATGAATAACTAATGATTTAACATCATTGTCCGGGGAGTTTATTGGGTATCAAAACCCAACACTATCTAGCCAATTGGCCCCACATATGAGAGTTTCGTCTACCAAGGTACTTGACGGCTCTGGTCTAGTTAATCGGTGAGAAGTCAGCATGCTAGCTTGGGTTCCAGTGGCTTGTCTACATTATCTACTTGTCCACTACATCGGATTAGACCTCTATAGCCATAACATTTTAGTGGTGAAGGAACAGTAGTAGATTTTAGTTGATGGAATTTTGCTTTTGCACAAAAATAATGTGTTTGCTGCAATTTTGTGCAATTTTTTTTCCCTATTGGAATCAATTTGTTTTAAGAATAAGCTTGTCCTTTGCATAAATTCGTATGACAAGACAAAACATTATTTGAAATATCTAGCTGCATGAGCTCAGCTTGAAATATCCAACTACGTAGATGTTTATGCATGATCTAGAATACAAGATTTCTCGTGATTATGTTTTGACTAGTTTATACTGTGACATTGCAGAGTTGATTTGGACTTTCCCAAGATTGAAGTCAGATTTCACCATTTTACTATTGAATCTTCTGTTCACCTTGGTAGTAGAGCTTTGCCTACAATTCCAAATTTTGTATTCAACATGACTGAGGTACACTAGTAGGTTATGAGTATCCTAATAGTTGCTCGATCTATTGAAATGTTTTTATCATCTGACTTTTCTATTTAATTTTTAAGGCTTTGTTCAGGCAGCTAAGGATATCCTCTAGTCGAAGAAAGCTGAAAATTTTGGATGATATTAGTGGGATAATTCGACCAGGAAGGCATGTAATGATTACATTTTCACATTGTAATATCTGGTTTGTATTAGTTGAAGTATCTTATTACGTGTTAATTTGTCTTGTAGATTAACTTTATTATTGGGTCCTCCAAGCTCTGGAAAAACAACACTGCTTCTTGCCCTTGCCGGACGTCTTAAATCCAATTTGCAGGTAATAAAAATCTTTTAGTCATGTTGTAATTTGGTTATGATATCATAGTCATCCAATTGCATGCTAAATGAAACCTTTTGATTTCCTTCTTCTCAAAATATATACTGAAACCTGGACTTCTTTAAAGATGTCAGGGGAAATAACTTATAATGGACACGGTCTGAATGAATTTGTTCCCCAAAGGACATCTGCTTATGTCAGTCAACAAGATTGGCATGTAGCAGAGATGACAGTAAGAGAAACTCTTGACTTTTCTGCACGATGCCAAGGTGTTGGGTATAAATATGGTAAGCTCAGTTAAACTCTGTGAATGTCATTATAGATTACCTAGATCCGGACCTTAAAACTTGTAACAGATATGCTTCTGGAACTTGCAAGAAGAGAAAAGATTGCTGGGATTAAGCCTGATGAAGATCTTGATATATTCGTGAAGGTAATATTTCTCAGTAGAGCATTTTTTGTTATACCAAGATTTATCCTTTCTTGAGTTGATTTCAATGAATACATTTTAATTTTACAGGCGTTGGCTCTGGAGGGGAAGGAGATGGGACTTGTTGTGGAGTACATTTTAAAGGTATTTTCGGGATGTTAACCATGGTTGATGAATGTGGAATTGCTTCCATGACACTGGTCTTGCTTGCTTACACATTCTTACCACTGCACATTATTGATGGCACAATTTTTTTGTCTTACATCCCACTGAAAAGTTCGGAGTTTCTTCCTTATTATTTACTTCTGGATGTTTTGAAGCTTCACCATGGGACACTGGAACATAAGATAACTCTGAAAGAAATAGGCTTCGAGAAATATTTGGCCGCGGGTTGTAAGCTATGCTATTTTCAAAACAAATTTATTAAGTATTTTTAGATAACAAACGGTAGAGAAATATGAAACATTATCCAGCATAGACAGTTCGAGGCTTCTGGGGTTTTTTATAAAGTCCTTAAGATCTTGGGTATGACTCTCATTTGAGCCGCTTCATGCTCATCACTTTGATTTGATGTACATTTCCTGAAAATCAAGCCCCTATTTATAGGACCGGTTGCTAGACCCCCGCCACCCTTACCCTAGGCACTTGTCACAGAACCATTGGGCACCTTTTGTTTAACCCATGCATGCGCTCCATTGGCACATGTCTTGGCTTGTTTGCATGTGTGGCACTTGGTGCCTGCATGCCAAGTGTCACTTGTCAGCAGCTGTGCAGTTGACGACGTCTTACTCTTTGATTCGTCTAATAATTTATTTATAAATTATTTTCAGTTTCTGTGTTTAGTCTTTAGGTTTTAAAACATTTCTACCATATCTTTTCGATGGATTTTTCTACTTATACATAAAAAAATGTACATAACGAATTACATAATATGATGTGGAGGGAAAAGATTGGATAAAAAAGTTGATCATGTTTTAAATTGGCAAATGATAAAGTGTCATGTGACATTATGTAATCCATTATGTAAATTTTAATGTACATGTAGCATGAAGTCCCTTTTACCAACTTTAGACGTGTGAAACGTGAGTTAACTCTCCAAAGACCCCTTTCATACGTGTAAAGTACAAATTTAGATATATGAAATCCTTTTTGGCCTTTATCTTTGGTCCTAACTCCTTGACAAATTTTGGATGTCTTTCCTTGTCTACAACCATTGTGTATGTTTAAAGCACCCATGAGAGGCCAAAGTCTCTCTTAGACATGTAAGGGTCTTCTAAACTTCCTCATTTCTGTACGAAACCCAGACGAACAATCCAAAACTCTATTACACTTGTTAAACTCCTTTATATTGATTCTTCCTTATCTTGTTTTCTCACTCCTCTTTTAGGTGGGACCTATTAAGTTCACTACCATATGTTATCATGCGTCACTTGATTGACATAAGCAGATATCTCCCATCATGTTTCGTTTCAAGCTCTGTGTTTGTGTAAATAATAGATATGCATAATTTATTTGTAATCTCATGAAAACTCATGTGGAAAACAACTCGTTGTTATAGCTGGCAAATTTGACATACGAATCCTTTTCATAGTTTGGCATACTCAATTTAGTTATACTTGTACATTGAGCATGGTTTGCTTATTGTCAGCTACTATGCAGTAATTTGAAATGATAACTAGGCGACTTAGATTCTGAGTTCCATTATGTACTAACATAAAAATCACAAAGATTTTAGGGTTGGACCATTGTGCGGACACACTGGTGGGAGATGAAATGCTTAAAGGAATCTCTGGGGGCCAAAAGAAGCGTCTTTCGACAGGTACACGGATTAAAATCAAGCACTCTGGATCATTGAAACGTGAGCTGACTTGGCATATCTATTTGACAGGTGAATTATTAGTAGGTCCATCAAGAGTGCTATTCATGGACGAAATATCAAATGGTCTGGACAGTTCTACTACCTACCAAATCATTAAGTATCTGAGGCATTCAACCTGTGCACTGGGTGGAACCACAGTGATTTCTTTGCTTCAACCAGCTCCTGAGACTTACGAGCTATTTGATGATATTATTCTCTTGTCTGAGGGTCAGATTGTATACCAGGGCCCCCGTGGAACCGCTCCTGAATTCTTTGCTTATATGGGATTTTATTGTCCAGAGCGAAAGAATGTTGCGGATTTCCTTCAAGAAGTAAGCATCAAAAAACCTCTATGGAAAATCTGCTCTTTTGGATTTTAATTTTACCCAAAGTCTGTATCTTGTAGGTTTTATCGGAGAAGGACCAAAAGCAATATTGGGCCATTCCTGATTGCCCACACCAATACATACCAGTAGCGAATTTTGTTGAAGCTTTTCGATCTTACAGTACCGGGAAGAATTTATATGAGGAGCTAGATACCCCATTTGATAAGCGCTATAATCATCCAGCAGCCTTGTCAACTTCTAAATATGGGGTCAAGAAAATGGAACTTCTCAAAACCAGCTTTGACTGGCAGCTGCTACTTATGAAAAGGAATTCATTTATTTATGTTTTTAAATTTATTCAGGTAGTATCAAAATAAAATATCATAAAGAATTCATTTGTAGATAGAGATTCCCTCATATAATGGCAAAAAGTTTTTAAGTGATGTAATTAAGATTCTTGCCAAATAATTATTGATCCATACACTAATGCATAAGTTCAATGTTTCATTTGCAGCTCCTTTTGGTTGCTCTGATTACCATGACTGTTTTTTTACGGACAACGATGCACCACGACACGATTGATGATGGAGGGCTTTATCTTGGAGATTTATATTTTTCAATGGTGATTATTCTTTTCAATGGCTTTACGGAGGTTTCCATGTTGGTTGCTAAGCTTCCGGTTCTTTACAAGCACAGGGACTTACACTTCTACCCATGTTGGGTTTATACACTACCATCTTGGGCCTTGAGTATTCCAATTTCACTGATTGAGTCTGGTTTTTGGGTGGCAGTTACATACTATGTAGTTGGGTTTGATCCAAATATTACAAGGTGAATTTCAATTTTTAAGTTCCACACAGATAATAATAATATTTGACCACAGCAAGATCTGCCTTTAATATATCAAATTGCAGATTTTTTCGACAGTTTTTCCTGTTTTTCTTTCTGCATCAAATGTCTCTAGCTCTTTTTCGCTTGATGGGCTCCTTGGGCCGCAATATGATTGTGGCAAATACTTTTGGATCCTTTGCCATGTTGATAGTGATGGTTCTTGGAGGATACATTATTTCAAGAGGTAAACTTATCGTCTATAGCTGCCTTGTTCAACATAATGGCTGCATTCCCTTAAAAACCCAAATATTGATCTTCTATCTCCTCTATGACTTTGATACTTTGATAGATCGGATCCCTGCATGGTGGATCTGGGGTTTTTGGATTTCTCCACTGATGTATGCTCAAGATGCTGCTTCTGTGAATGAATTTCTTGGTCATTCTTGGGATAAGGTACATACTTATACTCGAGCATTTGAGCTTAGCCCTTACATATAAGAACTTGATTAATGATTTGGCGGCACCATCAGAAGGAACAAGGTTTAGGAGAGAAGATATATGTGCATTGATATGCTTTTGAATGATCACTCTTCTTCATCTGAAAAATGTATTTGAAGTTGGTGGAAAAGAACAAATGCAAAATTAATTGAGATGGTAAGGGGCTTTGTAGTCCATCTGCTTGAAGATGTTGACCACTTTCCTTCCAACCACATATATGAATATGATGAGATCAATACTAAAAATCATGCAGCAGTTCCAAGGGTTTTTCCAGCTGAATTCTATGAAGAATCATTATGTAAAGCTGGTTTCCAAAGGTGGTCATTTTCGTTTTTTCCCTGAAAATGATTAGAGACATATCTTTGTATAGTTGTATAGAATTAAAAACAATTTTCAGAATACTCGGTGAAAATTAAAGATCTTTTAAAACTTGAGTAGCTTCATAAGGACAATACTCTGTTGTTAACTTGACAGAACATGTTTTCATACTGAGTTCATGATTTTACGTAAGACTAAGAGGCATATCTTCTGAATAATATTTCATTTTATTTTCATCAAAAAGAATTAGCAACGGTTACATGATTTGTCCATGTAGAGAAGTGGAGACAACTCAAATTTATCATTAGGCGAGGCACTGCTCAAGTCACGCAGTCTGTTTCCAGAGAGTTATTGGTACTGGATTGGTGTTGGCGCATTAATCGGATATATAATTCTGTTCAACATCCTTTTTACCTTCTTCCTTTCCTACCTGAACCGTAAGTGATTCCCTCCTCAAGTGACTACTAATGTCCATTTCAATCCATGAGGCATAAAAATATTTTCAGGAGAGGAAAACTAATATCTTTTTTTGGTTCCTTTTATTTTCAAATTCTTGAAGCTTTGGTGAACCATCAGGCAATTGTTTCTAAGGAAAAGCTTCAGAACAAAGACCAGAACCTGAATGGACAACCAGCTATTATGCAGCTAAGAGACTTTTTACAGTATTCAGGCTCATTAGCAAGTAAGACATACATGGTCGGTCTCTTTGTTTGTGCATGGGTGGGGAAGGCATTACCTTTTGTGTGTACAATCTAGTCTTTCTATCTAGGGTCCTTTGATGGTTGGAACTTCTTTACTAACAAAATGCTCATATTTCTTTGTCACTCAGGAAAAAGTTTTAAACAAAAAGGCATGGTGCTTCCTTTTCAACAACTTGCTATGTCATTCAGCAATATAAATTACTATGTGGATGTACCCCTGGTGCGTAAAGCACTCCCATTTCTTCTCAAGCATCACTTGTTCAGTCTGTTTTTCCTTAATTACATTTTATGATCATTATTTCAGGAATTGAAGCAGCAAGGAGTATTAGAGGACAAACTGCAATTATTGAATAATATTACTGGAGCATTCAGACCTGGGGTGCTGACTGCATTGGTTGGAGAAAGTGGTGCTGGAAAAACCACACTCATGGACGTATTAGCTGGCCGAAAAACTGGAGGCTTTATAGAAGGCAGTATCAAAATATCTGGTTTTCCGAAAAATCAAGAGACTTTTGCTCGAATATCAGGTTACTGTGAGCAAAATGATATTCATTCTCCCTGCTTGACTGTATTTGAATCTCTTCTGTACTCTGCCTGGCTACGTTTGGCATCTGATATTGATTTGGAAACACAGAAGGTACACTAAAATTCATCTGGTGTTTTTTTCATTCTAGACACGAGGTGACTTTTGAAGGATCATAATTTCAGGCATTTGTTGAGGAGGTAATGGAACTTGTGGAGCTTGTTCCTTTGAGAGGAGCTTTGGTTGGTCTGCCAGGAGTCAATGGACTTTCAACAGAGCAAAGAAAACGTCTCACCATTGCTGTTGAACTGGTAGCCAATCCCTCGATAGTATTTATGGATGAGCCCACATCAGGGCTGGATGCAAGATCTGCAGCCATTGTGATGAGGACTGTGAGGAATATAGTAAATACTGGACGAACAATTGTTTGCACAATCCATCAGCCCAGCATTGACATCTTTGAATCCTTTGATGAGGTTGCTTATTTTCCCAGAAATCTTTTGACATCTTTTCAATAACTTGAAGGGTTAATAATTTTTCTTTGTTACTTCATTGGAATAAATCGTTTTGTAGCTATACCATTGCCTGATCATTGTTTCAGCAATTGGACACACAGTCAATCTTTTTCTACTTCATAAAAGTTAATATGTTCCGTGCCTAAGTTGGCAATGAACTTTTTGGCATCTTTATTCAAGATTTTTACAAATAACTGATTCTTCAGTTCTATAATAGTTATGTGTATCAGTTCCTTATCATGCTTATTGCTATACTCTGGCAATCTTGTCTGATACTGCAGCTTTTACTTATGAAACGGGGAGGGGAGCTCATTTATGCAGGTCCACTTGGTCCCAAGTCTAGCAACCTAATTGAGTATTTTGAGGTCAGATATTGGTTTGCATTTGGAAGATTGAATTATTAAGCAGTCATTGAACATTCACGTTCTTTACACTTGCTATGTAGGGAGTTGATGGTGTGCCAAGGATCAGACCTGGACATAATCCTGCTACATGGATCCTAGAGGTCACATCATCTGTCGAAGAAGCCCGTCTTGCTGTTGATTTTGCTGAAATTTACAGAAGATCACAACTTTTTCAGTATGCTCTCTTTTATAATACAAACTTTGCCTCTTGAACTAGCCTTTTCATTTCAACACATTATTTTCATAATTTATTGGTCTTTATGTTTCAGGTGTAATAAAGAGTTAGTAGAGAGGCTAAGCAAACCAAGTAGCGATACAAAAGATCTGCATTTTCCCACCAAGTATTCTCAGTCATATTTTGATCAGTTTGTGGCTTGCCTTTGGAAGCAGAACCTATCTTACTGGCGAAACCCACAATACACTGCAGTTCGATTCTTCTACACGTTAATTATATCACTAATGCTGGGAACAATATGCTGGCAATTTGGTTCGAAAAGGTTTACCCATGACGCGATCTTCTATTTGTTTAGATTAGACGCGTGGATACTACTTGTCAGAGATAGGGATAACTTAATTACTAATAAAAGATGTCAATAGATAATTGTCATATATTGACATCCATTCTTTTCATTTAATTACTTAAACTGTCACAAAATGGGCCTAAGTTTATTTGGTTTCATACATTGTAGGGACACACAGCAGGACATATTTAATGCTATGGGATCCATGTATGCAGCGGTACTATTCATTGGAGTAACCAATGCCACTTCTGTTCAACCAGTTGTTTCTGTTGAAAGATTTGTTTCATACAGAGAAAGAGCAGCAGGAATGTATTCTGCATTACCATTTGCATTTGCTCAGGTGTTGTATCTGGTGCTCTTTTGAAACATTACAGCTCTGTTTATTATATTTAACACATGTTTGGTATGAAGTGCACAATAGGATGTCCACTTGTCCAGTATAATGAGCAAGATTTTAGCTTATTTTCTTAAGTACTATGCAATCTTCCTACTGAAGGTGCCATTAATCTTTTTGCATGGTCAATGATACTAATCTCATCTGGTGCAGGTGGCTATTGAGTTTCCTTATGTATTCATGCAGTCGCTAGTTTACTGCACAATATTCTACTCAATGGCCTCCTTCGAGTGGACTGCTTCGAAATTTATTTGGTACATATTCTTTATGTACTTTAGTATGTTGTATTTCACCTTTTACGGGATGATGACAACTGCTGTGACTCCCAATCATAATGTGGCTGCCATTATTGCTGCCCCTTTCTACATGCTTTGGAATCTCTTCAGCGGATTTATGATACCTTACAAGGTAATAAAATTATCTCCTGCTGTTGTTTCACTTGAAGAATCATGAACAAAGAGAGTATAATTAAGCTCTTCAGAAAGAAAAAACTCATCACATTCTTAGGTATTACTGATTCGACCAAGAACAGTAACTCTTGTTTCTGAAGACCTAATGAACTGAAGTATCAAGTAATGGCAATGCCTTATTTATATTAGAATTATCTACAATTTTTCTCTTTTTTGTTTAATATATATTCATCTTTCATTCATAGAAATACAAAAACTGCAATTGATGTTTCCTCAGACAATGTGAATGATAGAATTATAGGATTACGTCGTGATCTTAGTTTCGCAACACAATCTACATTTTAGTCCAAGTCAATACTGGAAATACCCTTCTCTGACTGGGTATTCAACATGTTGATTCTGTCGTGCAAAAGTTTTGGGTTGTTTCATTTTTATCCATTTGGGGAGTAAAATCAAATTTCGTCATCCATTGGTTTCATGAGTATACTGGGCATTCCATATATATACCAGGTCACACTATATGTTTCTACATGTATATAAATGATATTTAGGGGAACCATCTCTTTGTGCACTAGACATGTGGGGTAAAACCTTGTATACTTCTTCGAAAATGTAGCTCTCAATGAGTGTGAACTATTACAAATTTGTGTGTTTTGCTGGAATTCTGATTGCTTTTCGGATAATTGTTGTTCTACAAATAGATATTAGAATTAATCCAGAACATAATCAACATGTATAAGGAAGCTCAAAATAAACTACTAAGTCTAACACGCTGAAAGATTATATGCAGCATATTATTGCTGAAATTGTAAACGCATCATATTCTCAAGCATTACTTGCCTTTTTCTGCAATTACAGAGAATCCCTATATGGTGGAGATGGTATTATTGGGCAAACCCTGTAGCCTGGAGTCTGTATGGCCTTGTTGCTTCCCAATATTCTGACAGTGATAAACTTCTGAAGCTCTCAGATGGGATTCATACAGTGTCAACAGAACTTTTAGTGAAGAATGTTTTCGGATTTCGGCATGATTTCATTGGAATTGGGGCTATTATGGTGGTTGGATTTTGCTTGTTATTTGCAGTCATCTTTGCTTATGCAATCAAATCTTTCAACTTCCTGAAGAGATGATTGGTAAAAAGTAAATGATAGTTGATCGTGGCATCGTAAAGAATTTTTTCCGAAATTTTGAAATTTGTGTAAAAATAAAATGTGATTCATTTAAAAGATGAGAATATATTTAGATGTTTCTTGTCTAATGTGGTATTGTAGAATTGGCTGAAAGAGTATACGTGTAATAAGGAGGTGACATGAAGATTTGTATTAGTATGTTGTTTGCATGGATGAGATGGGTATGCAAATTGTATGTCATTTTTATGATAGAATTCCAAAAATATAAGTCTTAATTTGATTATTGAGCGAGTCTTAACAGTTCTACCAGTAAGGGGAAGAAGCAGGCGGGGATAGATAAAATATATATGCATATATAATACTTTTTTGCTTGTTTATTTGAATGTTGTACTATATTAATTAATTGAACAAGTCATTGCATGTTTTCGTTCTGCCTTGAATGTTTAGGCTCTTTTTCTAAACACTTTTCACTTCAAGATGCTTGTGTTGAAGACCCTAAAATGGATTGAAAACGTATGAAACCACTAAATTTGCCAAATTCCTCAAGTTATCATCCTAACTAATATATCTGTGTGTGTGTGTTAATTAAATATATTAAGGTCACAATTATATAATTAATAGTCGCATGTACGTACACATAAGTCACAGTTTCTTTATTGGTCATAGATTATTTCACGATCACAAATCAAAAAATTTATATGTCATAGATTTTCAAATTAGTTGGTGACAAATTATTTTTCGGTTGTTACAAATTATATAATCTTTAGGTCACAAATAATCAAATAGTTGGTCACATACACCAAACACCACTCTCCCACCTTTGATCCCGATCTACTACCAATACTTAGATCACAAATCAACTAAATAGTTGGTCGTAAACTCTCTTCTTCCCATGTCGTCGCCGTTGCCGCACCACCACCACAATTGCCACCACGGCACCACCCTCACAAATCACGGACCAGATATCACGGTACACAACCACTGCACACTACCACCACATCCAACCACCCCACACCACTCATTGCACACCATCGCAGTGAACCAAACCACTGGACACAGCACCGAACCCAACCACCACTACACAACACCATCACACCCAACCACTGCACACAGCACCACACCGCACTGATGTGATGGAAAATATTATTTTATTAAAAAACGTGTGGTTGAAAATGAGAATTGATTTGAGAATCAATTCTCAAATTAAAAACAAACACCCCCTAGGAGAAATACATATTCAGAATATATAATTTCAATTATCACTGCACAAGTTAAAAAATACCCCTTGTTATTTTCTTGCACATTAACATGTCTACATATTGGGAGTCATAACAAGAGCGTGTTCAAATGACTTTCAATAAAAAATATTATTATTTTCACTCAAATTCTTACATGTCCAAAAGAAGAAAAATATATTCTTAAGGAGAGTTGGTTTTTATTTTCTAGGTAATTCGCCCTTTCTCTTCCTCTCCCTCATTTATCCTCTCGTCTACTCTCCAATAAAAAATGAAAAATTATAATGTTTTCTAGATTGAAAATTATATCAATCGAACACATTTAATTAATAACTTTCATAAATTGCCTAAAATTTATTTTTTTTCCAAACAAATTCTATGCTTACAATCAAACGTACCCCAAGTGCATCGTGCCTCATATAACATCATTACAAACAGTATCTCAACTTCATTTTTCTTATTATAGTCATTCTCCATCCAAAACATGGCATTAAAGAATAGCAGCAGATAATCAAATTGCAGTAAAATCTAAAATAAATGGAACCAGCAAGAAGTCTGAAACAGTAACTTTCAAGAACTAAAATTTCTTTTAAGAGATTAGACCAGCTATTCATATTACAAACACCACATAATAATAATTGAATGGACAACGATAGATTTCTCATTTCTTACTAAGATACGAAGGTAACTTACAAAACATAAACTCGTCTACTATCTGGAATCGGAATCCCACTCCATTTACGCAAAAAAGATGCTTGCAAATCAACTGTTTTGGAGCAGGAGCAACAATCTTTCAACCAAAAAACTCGCACAAAAATATAGATCCGTATCTTCAATCCCATCCGATCAGGCACCATTTAGTTTGTCTTCAGCAACAATTAGTGCAAGCAAAAGTATTGTACTATCAGTTTTTACTACTGTATTGATGTTTGATTGTGAACAAAACTAACAAGGGCACGATAGTCAATCCCACCCGATTGCAACAACAGAGCCATAATCATTTCCATAGCTGTTTGAACCTGCATCAAACGAATTGTTGCTGAAACCAGTAACATCAGCACCAACAGGGACGTCGTAAGGAGCAAATTGAGAAGTGTCAAGAGCAGAAAGGGGATATACACTCCCTGTAGTACTATTAGCATAATGGCTAGAGAAGTCCCCATTACCACCATCGACATCGCCACTTCTATAATCATAACCAGCAAATTTGTTGCCTACAGAGCGCTTAGATCTACCATTAGCGGACATGTAAGTTGTCTCAGCATATTCCTTTAGCCAAGTTGGGATTTCTTGATTTGCTTCCTTCATCAGTTCAACAAGGTCTTTTGCAAGAGGAGCATTCTTCTCACTGAAAAATGCTGTGGCCAAACCAGATTTCCCAGCACGTCCTGTCCGACCTATCCTGTGAACATAATCATCTATAGCCTTTGGTAAATCAAAATTTATAACATGAGCAACATTAGATACATCCAATCCCCGTGCAGCAACATCTGTCGCCACCAAAATTGGAGTGAGTCCATTTCTGAATGATCTCAATGCCCGTTCTCTCTCCTTCATCCATTAAAAGAAGGCAAAAATATATATCAGGGAACATTTTCAGGAATCTTTCTGCAAATCAAGCAAGATACTTGTTTGCGTATTAAAGGAACATACGTGCATGCCAACACACTGAAGGTAAATAACATGGCTAGTTTATACAAGGAATCTAGATTTCACAACATTTCTTTTAAATCAAACTGCTTATAGGCAATATCTAAAAAAAATAAACAGAAAAGAATAATTTTATAAGATTAAAAAAACATTTTCCATTTAGCAAGTAAAAGTTAGTACTATGAGAAGAGACACTCATTTATGTTTACCTAGGAAGCACCGATACGAACGGAAGTATGGTTATAACACGACACCGACAAGTCGAAACACAATAATTCAAAAAAATACAGATAACACGTCCAAAGACTAAAAAAGTAATATTAAAGTTTTCTTTTATGTTCTTATATTATAAAGTAAATTAATTTTTGTTATTTCCGGCATGCTGACAATGTAGACTCCAAAACGTCAGAAATGTATGCCTCGACACGTCAACAACGTATCCAAATGTACAAAACAAAACAAAAAAAATTGGACACGCCACCTGACAAATCGGACACGCGTCAATATCATGTCAATGTCAAACACATATCGGCATCAAAAAGCGTATAGGCGATATGTTGGTGTCATGTCAATGTCCAAACCATGTGTAGGAAACAAACTTACCGGTTCCATGAGTGTAGGTACATCCCAGAGTCTCTCAAATAACAAAAATTGGAAAAATATTAAACAAATTTTCCATGCCAGTCAGTTCTATTCAGTTGTGGAGATGGTCTAAGACAGAATACAAATTACATACAAACTGTATGTACATAATGAAACGTGTTGAATGCAACCGCAACTAAGAAAAATGTCAACATAGGGCAAATATTTCAGTTAGACATTCCACAAATGCCTAATACATCGAGAAACTTATCAAGAGAAACTAAATTACTAACCATCTGAACTTTGTCACCGTGAATGGCAGTAGAGAGAAAACCTTTTCTGCACAGCCAGCGTTCCAGCATATCAGCTCCTTTCTTCGTCTCTACAAAAACAAGGGTCAAAACATCCTGCAAAAATATAATTTCACTAGATCAGCCAACTAGAAACTTATAATTCAAGGTTAGAAAAGAGCAGAAATCAGGTGGAAACTACAATGCCAGCGGGTGTACCTTTCCTGTGATCCCATTTGTCTTCTGGGAATGAAGAAGATTCATCAAATGATCTCTTTTGTCCGCGTCAGGAACAAATTCAACTCGTTGAACAATGAGATCAGTGCTTGAGCCAACCTTCCCAGCAGCTAGAAATATGTAGTTTGATAGAAAATCCGAAGCAAGCCTCTGAAAGAGTGAATGGCAGAAAAATTAATAAAGCAATATGACAAACCAAAGCCAAATTTGTTGAAGGCACGGAACTCTTCACTAATTATTCAACACTTCATCCTCCAAGACCATCAAGGGAGCTAATATAACATTGAAGATCATTTCAAAATGAAATATAGATAACAATTTTGTTGCTATTAAATCGAAGGATATAATCAATATATATCATTTGTTGTAAACCATGCTATTAATGAATGAAATGCACAAAACAGTACATAATATGAAAAGGTCACATTCGATTCAACCATTGTGGAGAGTAAACAATGAAACACAGTAATTCATTAGAAACATGAGAGGACAGGGATTGGCAAACAAACTTGTATTTCAGTTGGAAATGTTGCACTGAAAAGCAATGTTTGCCTTGCACATGGCGGAGGCATCTCCATTTGCTGAACAATCCTCCGAACCTGGGGCTCAAAGCCCATGTCCAACATTCTATCAGCCTCATCAAGAGCCAAATACTTGACATTCTTCAGTGAAACCTTTTCTCTTTCTATCATATCCACCAAACGGCCAGGGGTAGCAACTAAGATGTCCACACCATTTCCCAGATTGCGTAGCTGTAGAAGCAAAAATAGCAGTTGAAAAGAGATTAGTACAAGAGCCAAACCTAAAAAGGCTTGATTGGATTATCTACAATGGAAACATCAATTATTCTCAACAAGTAGAATGCAGAAATGTAAATGATGAGGAATGACAGAGGGAAAGCTTGTGAAAAATATAAAAATACATTCTAGATGTTCTTCACAATCCCTGTTGCTGTTACCCAAGATCGAGATTAACTAAGAACAAAACCAAAAAATATTTTTAATTAAAATTTAAGTAAGATCGTGATTGACAAAATGTCATCACAAGATACATAAGTATTACTACTACATGGAAACTATTTCGACAAGAAACCCATGGAGTCATTGTGTCCTTGCTATCTAATTTTATCATCTTACTATCAAACAGTCCACTTAAACCATTGTAACTCAACAATCAACATATACACTAATCAGAATTTAACCGAAGGACGGTTAAGATATATCAACGGCCAATAACATGTACTACATAATCATGCAATTTTCAGATGTACTACATAATTATGCAAGTTTCATGATTATGTACTACATAATCATGCAAGTTTCAGATGCATAGAAAAGCCTTCAAACCGTTAATAGCATCAGAAACCAAACCTGCTGGAAAATTGGAGCCCCGCCATAAGCAACCACAACCTTGACTCCAGTTTGATAGGAGAACTTCTTTGCCTCCTCGTATATCTGGATCACACACAAATCCCGTCAAACAAATCAAAACTGTAGTCATTGACATTCTACTGAAATGTCATCCATCATGCTCAAAATTGAAGTGAAAAACCAACAGCAGCAAAAGAAATCTCCACATAATAAAGGTCAAAAAGAAAAGACATGCAAATATTTTTGCAGAGGAACGTAACAGTAACTCACATAAAAAACCAGAAGCTAAAATATAAAATAAAATAAGGAAAACATACAAACCCCACCCTTTACCAAAACGTATAAACACGAAATATACAATTATTCATTACAGTAAATTAAAAATAAAAATAAAAAAACATGCGAACCCCACAAAAAAAAGTATGAACTCAAACAAGAAGCAATCACCTGACATGACAGCTCTCTAGTAGGAGCTAGTATGAGAGCCAGTGGACAAGCTACGCCGTGAGGATTACCAACCCTTTTGTACTTCTGATTAGCCATAAGGATCTCGTTGATAATGGGAAAGCAAAACGCTGCCGTTTTACCGGACCCAGTCTGGGCGCATGCCATCAAATCCCTCCCGGTCATGGCCACTGGAATGGCGTACCTCTGTATGGGCGTGGGTTTCACGTACTTGCACCTCTTTATGTTGTCAATCAGAACCTGGCTCGAGAAACATATTTCAGAAAACGACGTCACAGGTGGCGGTATGTTAGTGCCAGACGCCTCCACCGTCGTATCATCGTACGCACTTGCATTCGTCTTTGAAGCGGCTTCATCTTCTTGGGTGACCTCTAACTCATTGAATTTCTGAGAGATATCAAATGGGAAGTTGTTGGGATTTTCATCGTGGAAATATCCACCAGAACGGCGACGTCCCTGACCGCGTCCGCCATCACCTGCACGTCCACGGCCACGGCCGCGGTATGAGGTGTTGATTATGATGTTCTCGTCACGGCGGAAAGGCGGTAGATAAGTGGGTTGTGTAGGACGACCCGAACGGTTCAACACGTCTGCTGAATCAGTGAACCACGGTGGCGACATTGTGAAAAATCGTAGTTAATGCTACAGTTGGAGTGAAAAGAGGTTTCTGATGAAAATGGTTTTGAATACAGATAAAATAAAAAAAGGGACACTGAAAAAGCTACAAATGCAGAGAGAAAAAGGTGTTAAAAGGGGCGGGAAAGGTTCAGATGAAGAACCCTAGAAAAGACGAGAGTGGGATCGTTTTGTACAGAAAAAGCAGCCATTACTGGTAGTTGTACTTAGCTTGTAGTTAGGCGTGGATTACCAAGGCATTTTAGAGAGAGAAAGAGGGCTTTATGAATTCCTCCATTAATGGAGTGGAGATTGGAGAAGATCGTTATGGAGAAGATGGAAAGGTGGGGAGAGTGTAAGATCAAAAGTCTTTACAATAATGGACCTCATTTCAGGCGCGTGACTTTTGTATACACACAAAGCATGCTTAGCTATAAAGCCCATGTTTGGTTTAGGGTTGTTTGAGTCTCATTTTTCTCAAAAAATGCATTTTATTATGATAAAAAATAGAGTTAAATGTTCATTAATCACTGAACTTTGAGTTATGTCACGGTTTATTCACCGAACTTTCAAACTTGTCCCACTGGCCACTGAACTTCAATCCGTTACTACCGGTTACTCATCGGCTCAAATCAGTTAATTAACATGTCTACGTGGCTAAAGGAAAATCCAGCTGTCCGGTTAAATCCTCACAAGCGTTAAATATTTTGCTAAATTATCAACCACGTCAACTCTCACAGCCCGCCCTTTTATTAACTCCTCTTTTCTCCTCCTCCACTTTCTCCTCATTCTCCCTCTCCCATGGTAACAACGCCTCATCCTCATCATCTTCATTTTCGAGCAAAATTGTGTCAGGCCTCACCCAATCTCTCTTCAACAAATCCCCCAGCTTTTCTTCCCCCATCATCTTCTTAATCATCCGACCCTAACCCAAGATTTCGCAACCGAAGTACAATTTGCTCGATGCCCGTAGTTCCAACATGAGTTGTATCTGAATTCGGGTCAGGTTTCTTGGAACCCTGTTTAAGAGGAAGGGAAGGCGAAGCTGCAGTAGGAGGGGAAGGCCATTTATTAAGCCAAGAAGAAGAATGGGAGTTATGGGGTTTTTGGGAAGGGATTTTTGTAAATTTTGTAGACGGGGTGGAGCGGAGGTAAGAAGAAAAAGGTTTAAAGAGTAAATGAGAAAATGGGTTTATTTTCCGGCAAAA